GGTATCAGGACATGGTACCAGCCTGTACTTAAATGAAAATACTCATACTGTTCCGATAATTGTAATAAACCATTATCGTAAAACACAGTACCGGGACAACCCTAGTATTTATTTATCTTTTCCAACTCTGGAAGGTCGCCACAGTGAATCATCTGCCTTCACACCGTGACACCAACCACCATCACATCCTTCTTCACTACGTCCATGAATCTTCTCCGTCATGTCTTCCTCTGACTGGCAGCTCCACCCTCTACATCCATGGTCGTGTATTATCACTATCTATCTTTACACCAGAAACTTTATGTGAAGGGAATGAGTCCAGAGCTCACAGTAGCGTCCAATAAAACAACGAAAACAAACGTATAATGGTGCCAATAATTCTAAAGCCTATTTCTCAAAGTTGTCATTTAAAGCATCATGAATCAACACAGTGTTTTGGCACCTGGTGGTGGTGTTGCTCAATACTGCCTCCACAGATTACATCACAGCCACATACTTTCTATGCATTTTTTAAAGTAATGAGTGACTTTTTTTTTTAAACTTTACACATGACAGAAACTGTCTATCCACACTTGTGAAGTGCCTTCAGGGTGAAGAGCTACTTTCCTATCTGTAGCAGGTATGCCTAATACGCACACGTTCACTATGTAGAAATATTCAACATTGGAAACACAATGCCTGCACAATAAAATATTTAATCATCTTTTTAAATATTTGCGACATCTGCAGATGCCTTTCAGGACACAAACGTAAGTGTCTGCTGATTCTTTGCAATAAAAACCCATCTATTTCCAGCTACAGGGAAAGAAAAATCCATTCTTTCTACAATAAAGGAGAAAAGGAAAACTTATAATTAATCTTGAGATCGCGATCACGGTTAGTGAGCGGGGGGAGATTTATTTGTTTGTCCTTTTCTGCCAGATCAGTGAGCAGGCAGCAGGAAAGGAGAGGGACGGAGCAGAGTTACAGCCAAACACCTTCAGCCGGAGNNNNAGGTGAGATCCTGAGGGGAGGAACGCCGCCAAGAAACACACGGGTGTGGAGAATAAAAAAAAGTGGCTACATAAAATACGTACTAATTTACTTTTGATATTTTAATGCATGAGTAAACACAACTGACCACAGCTGCTGAGAAACCATAAGGCTGATGTGGCAGTTAAAAGTAAAAAAAAAAAAAAAAAAGAATTAAGTTATAAAAGGTAAAAGTACTGAATACTTTATTAAAACACATACAGCATAGTACTTATGTATTATGGGAAAAGGACATTCCCTGGTGTATAAGTTTTAAAAATGAGATTTTAAATTTTTAAACCTTTCAAAATAAAATACTTTTTATTGTTCTTTACCAAGTTAGACTTTTTTTTAAATGCAGCAGATTATCTGAAAATGTTTCCTCATTAATTTTTTTCTCACAAATGAGGTTGGAATAAATACTGGTGTTGATACAAGTCAGTCACTCACTGTCACTTTTCCCTCCAACAGAGCAGAGGAGACGGAGACGAGGAGAGACTTAATCTTTTAAATCTAATTTGATGAAACCCAGACTAATTCAATCACATTAAGTACTTCGCTCCTGGGACTTATTGACGTTTGAGTATTAATCAACAAAAACCTATTTACTGTACTTTTTTTAAGGGAAAGACTACAGGAAATAACATAGAAGGGTGGAGGAAAGGAGAAGGAAAGAAGTAGAGAAGGCTGCTCACCAGATCAATATCCTGTTGGATGGTAAGCTACAGGAAGTGGCCAGATTTTACTGTTAGTCTAAAAGATTTTTTTCTAGATGATGGAAACCATTTATTAATATAAACAGACCAAGGTGATCAGCTGTAATACTGAATGTGTAGAAACACAGACACAGGCAGGATGTGTGCACTCACTTTTGGATTCAGGTGATGAAAGACATTAGACGTATACAAAGGAAGTGTGAGCGGTGTGAAAACAAATCAGACTCTTCACACTTCAACTTCAACACAACGCCAGACTCAGGAGAGATGTACAGAAGTCATGTGGGTAGAAGAGTATTGAGCTGAAGTCTATTTATACCACAAGGTGCACAAGGTTCACAGCAATAATAGCCAGTGGAGTGACCTTTGACCTCACTATCACTGACAACCCTTCAACCACAAATCCGCACAACCACAAAACATCCACATCCAGAGACATATATATATATATATAAATATATATATATATATATGTGTGTGT